CTAATGAGTATGGTTTCTATTTTTGGGTATACATAACATTTTCTAATATATATCCGAGTATTTTTTATTTTGTAAAGGTTATTCTAATAAAGTACTTAAAAGTAGCTACAGCAGTAGAAATATAAATATCGTTTATTCTTGATTATTCACACATATTTTCTCAAAGATTTGTAGTTGCAAGTAGATTAACTTGTCATCGAAGATGTCTTCATAATATAAAGACCAACTGAACTGACGCTCTTTAGAGAAAATTTTGAAAAAAATAAGCAAAATGTTTCGAAATAAATTTTGCATATGTGTCTGGATGAAGACTAAATACGTTAATGTTGCGGACATGTCTTGCACAGCGTCCGCAAAGGAATAAGAAATAGCATTTTTAGTGTAGCTGCTTTTTATTGTATTATTTTTATTTTTGTAATGAAAGGTAAAAATAAGCAAAGCAATTATTTATATATATTTGTTGCTACTAAACCGGAATTAGTAATGCATTTGTATCGAAAAAACAGTAGGTTAGCTTACTTAAGTGTTCGATGTCTGGTAAATGATTTCTAATAAGACGTCTAATAGATGAAAAACACTTTAACAAAAAAAAAACATTCGCAAAATAATAAGACATTTATACATATATGAAAACTGAAAATTAAAATTTTATTGTAAAGTATTATTTCACAACCCATCAACTTCATGTACTCAACGTTTACTGCCTTGAATACGAAACGTTAGTAGTTTAAATGTCTTTATTCATTATATGAAAAAATTTTAATTAAATCTTAATTATTGTAAATGATTTTATAACTATTTTTTATGTACCAATATATTTCAATTAGAGAACTGACATAAATGATTTGATATATGTAAATCTTTGGAATATATTTTGTGTGTATAATTATTTAATTAAATTGTTTTTGCTGTCATGAAATTAAATAAAGATACAAATTGAATATTTTACCATTAAAGCTTATGATTTAATTATATAAATAATATAATTTATTCTACAAAACAATCTATAAAATTTTTGTTAATAATATCTAAATTAAATCTATTATTTCATATATTTTAAAACAATTAAGTCATATATTAAATATATCACTCTACCGCTATTCAGAAATGAAAATCTCAATGCAGGAACAGGAAGTTGATATATACTCGAATAATTTGACCGTCACTTCTATATGGATGTGTAGCTTTTAACAAAACTTCAAACACTACTATTTGCCAACTAAAAATTGCACAAAGCTAGGCGCTGGGAAGACTTTTCAAGGTACTATGGTACAAGGACCAATGACATCCTTAAGGACTTTAAGATTGATCCGATCAAAAAATACATGAAGGATAAAGCCCTGAAATTATTTGCGAAAACTAACAGACTTACCAACACCGCATTATCGAATCTCAGAATGGTTACAGGCTTCTCGGGGAGGTATGCAGATCTGAGGTCAATGATTGCTTAGTCTGGTGAAGTGATAAACAATAATCCAGTCAAGGCGTAAAGAAGGGTTTTGAAGATACCTGGAGTTAATAAAGAGTAAAAGTGCTCAAGTGCAATGGCTCAAATTGCGTCAAGTTTATCTATTATGTAGTTAATCATTTTTACGCGTGCAGCCAGGATTTAACTTAGTTTACACCCCAATTAATAGCATAAAAACAACAAAAACTTAAGAAAAAAAATAAATGTGCTACATAACTGTACTAAAAACATGAGCAAAAATTTCTATATAAAAATTGTAAATATAAATCAGAATAGTTGCAAACATATTAATAAAGTTAGTGATTTCTCACCATATCAAAAAGTATTCTGCAACTATAACAAGTTATGTACAGTATCTCTCTTACATAAAGCACTCGTAGATATTACCATAAGCGCTTGATTTTACTAAGTTTATAAAAAAAAAATTTATGTAGAAATATTTTTCTAAGCAGTGACTGATTTGTATTTATTTTTTGTTTGTTTCAGCATTTTTGTGACATTTCTGTGAATCCAATTTAACTAGCAAATAAACGTTTAAGTATAAATAACATGGCCAAAAGCAGGATTGTTTGCAAATAATATCCAATGTCAATATTACCGCAGCGTCGAGTATATTGCATTTAAATGTAAGTATCTGTACAAAGCACACATAATTCGCAGAATATTGTATTTTTTAACATATTTTTATATTTTTTTTTTTTTCATCTTTGTTAAAATATATATATATAAAAAAAAAAATAAAGAAATTGTAACCGAAACAAATATGCTTTTAAAATATTTGTTCAGCTTGTACGCTTGATTTAATAAAAAAAAATACTTTTCAAACAGTTGGTAACACTGGTGCATTATTGCAACGAGTCAACGGCATTGAATTTTGATTTTTGTTTGTCTTCTCTTATATAAATTTGCATTATTTTATTTTTTTAAAATGCTTTTTTGTTTTTGTTTTTTGTTTGTTAAATGTTGCATTTCATAAATAACTAAAAGCAAAAGCATATAAATCTACTTTTTTTGACATTTGTCAGTTGCTGCAAAGTTTTTTTCAACTCATTCATACCTACATATAGTAGCTTTTTATTTTATATAGATATATATATATATATACATATATATATATTAATTTCTGCACAAAGTTTTAATGTCAATGCGTTGTCATGTCGTCATGTCAGCAAAATTATTTAAAAAGTGCACGTGGCATCAGTGGAAGTCTTATTGTTTCCCTGACAAAGTAAACTTTTTATGGTTTAAATTACTTCAAATCCTATGCCAGACTCACATAGATTTCATATAAATATAATGCCGTACACCTTAAAACAATAATTTACATTTTTTTATTACTTTTATATGCAAAATAAAAAATTTGAAGAAGATTTGTTTAACAGAAATAGAATTTTAAAGTAATATAACTTTATGAAAGTACTTTATGCTTGCTTTTATTCACATTCGCTACTTCAAATCAAATCATGTCTTCAAATCAAACTTTTAAATTGGTAGAACCGGCTAGCTAACTGAGACCTCATATAGACCTGTAAGATCCGTACCATTAACACATTACAGTACTAAATGTCTCAGCTTATTTTAAGCGATGTTTCATTATAGAGGAATATAGAGGACGAAGCTCAGCTTTTAAAAATCTGGGAGTTCCAATGAATTCTAGTCAAGTTTTTAAAATAAGCTAGAAATAGAGAAATAGAAAATAGAGTAGATGTAGTATAGATTATTAGAACAAATAATATTTAGCTTATGCACATATGTTGTAACTAGACCAACTATCGTTCAAAAGTTCCTTTAATTCAAACTTATCAGATATTCAGAAGATTTTTAATCGAATATGTATGGTATTTCCTTTTAAATGATCCTGGTAACTTTGTGCAAAACCCATTTACTGAGCCAATTAAGTGTTTAAAACAACGTAAGATGCGGACACCTTATAGTATGTTATCACTGCTTACTTAGTAAGTTAATCTTATGTTAGTATGGTTAATTTCATTTACCGTACAAAGAGTTTCCGTGCTTTTTAATTTACTTGAAAATAAGGCAAGAAAAATTACCAAAATACGAAATTACTAAAATATGTCATATGCTTTATATGTAAAATGTAAACAAACAACAGCTGAGCTATAAAGAAATGAATTGAGAAAGTAAGTTTTAAAATCATTGTTTTTTATTGATTAAATATGTAATAGATATATAAAATATATATAAAAATGATTTAATATATCAATTATATGTATAATGCTTTTGTGTTGTATTATTAAGTGAAGTTTATTTAAACAAACAGAAGCTCTCTCTCACCATACCTCTCTCTCTCTCTTTTTCTCTCTATCTCTCTCTCTTTCTCTCTCTCTCTCTCTGTCTTTTTCTCTCTCTATCTCTTTCTCTCTCTTTCTATATCTCTCTCTCTCTCTATCTATCTATCTCTCTTTTAGAACATTCAAAGAACTTTCTGACACATAAAAGCTCTTTGACATGCAATAAATAACTTATGTCATTGGAAACGACAAAATATTAAAGTTACTTACGTAACTTACTAAGTAAGCAGTGGAGACATGGTATTATTAGTCCAGTAGTAAAGCTCTTTCACATGCAATATGAAACTTATGTCAATGGAAACGATAAAATCTTAAAGTTACTTAAGTAACTTACAAAGTAAGCAGTTGAAGCATGGTATTAATCCTGTGATATTAGATTTTTATCTTTCGCAAGTAAAAAAAATCACTTGCTATAAATTAATCTCCAGTACGGAGTTATGATTAATGAATTCTAATTGCCAGTGAGTGAGTTTAAAGTGTTCGGACGCGTTCTTGTTTGCTCTGCTTTAAAATAGTTCAAATACAGAAAGTGCGGGTCTTTAAATCTAAAATTTTGCAAAATAGCATCCTCTTAGACAGACGCTTAAAATTCCA